CGCAGTCTGGGTGTATAAAGGAAAAGGCACTGCCAAAGGCGATCCTAAAATAATTTCACCGTCTGACTGCCTACCAACACGAGAATCTGGCAGTAAGCAACCGAAATTGTTGTGTTCGGCCTATCGTGAGGAATTGTCGACTAAAAACAGTTCGTCAGAGTCCCATATAAAGTCAAAAAAACACGCAACTGCAAAACAAAGGCTTCAGCTAAATATGCTGACATAGCAGATGCCCTACGAGAGTATGATAGTAGTGTTCATCCTGTTGGGGAGGGACTTCCGGAGTGTACTAGGGTTTACAGAGTGAATGTGCGTATGCTCAAAGCAGGCTTACATACATATATATTTCGCTCACTGCTTGAAAACATGCGTTTTTCTGACAAGCTCAAGTAACCTTCGTCAAATCATTCCTTTTATTCATAATAATGAGATGGAGAAGATAAAGGAAGCCATTGAAAAGAAACACGTGTCGATAATTTTCGATGGGACAACTCATGCGTGTGAAGCGATGGTGATTGTTTGTGTGCTATGTCACAAACGATTGATTGGCTGATAAAGCAGAGTGTATGTCGGTTGATGCTTTTAGCTAAGAGCATGACTGGTGAGGAAGTCGAAACACAAATCATCATGGTTCTAGTTAGGGATATCGTTAACCCTCTTTGTTGGTGCGATGCCCGAATCGTGCTTCGGTGAACGATGTTGCGATGAGGACAGTCAGGGTTATCAACAATCAAGTCATTGATATCGGTTGCTTTTCGCATGTTCTTGACCACGTTGGAGAACATATGCAGACACCCATCCTTGAGAAGTTTTTAGGGCTGGGATAAGTCAAAAACCCGTCTTCCTGGAAGGAGCAGACAGGATTGTATCGTACATCCTACTCTAGTACAAGATGGTGGAGTTTGTTTGTCATCTATCCCGTGTAAAACATTACCTGTACCGTTGCGAGTGATCGCAATTCACTGCAGAAAATCGCATACAATACCTCAATGTGTGATGCAAATTACACTGGAAGTGCTGGGTCGATGGAGCCTCAGGATACCCTTGAGATTTCAAATCCTCCAGGTCCTATGGGTTGCAGTTCAAGTGATTGATTTCAGATGGTGATTCGAAAACACATTCACTTCTTCTCACCTGGTAGAGAAGATGGACTGTGCTGGGCACGTCCAGAAACGAATGGGAACTGCTCTACGCAATCTCAAAATGCAGTACAGGGGCCAGAAGTTAGCTGATGGAAAGACCATGAGTGGTGTTGGGCGGCTTACTGACAGAGTCATCAATTCTCTCCAGAACTACTACGCTGGTGCAATTCGCCGGAACAAAGGAAAAGTCCAGGCAATGATGAAGGCAGTTCAAACAACCTTGCTTCACTGCAACTCTACCAATGTCAACATGCACGTTTAAATTGACTCTGACAGGATGCCATGGTGCACTACAAGTGATCATGCCACTTGCATCGTAGCATAAGGTCGGATCTAGTGCAGTTGCTTGGTCTAACTGTTGCTTCTCTCCCCCGCACCCACCCGTTTGCATCTGGCGTGCGAGTCTGGCCTGAGGATGAGATTGAGCTGGCTGCTGCTGATAGACTATTCGGGGTGAAGAGCGTGATCTTTCAATTCGGTCCACAGCATTCAGCAGCTGTTCCTGCAACTGACTTGTGGAAACTAGCACTTCATCCCTCAAAGAAGTACTGCCTGTTGAAGTGGTACTAGGCGCAGATAAGCCAGGTGCCGCGTGACCGCCACCACTACTCTCGCTCATCGTAGGTTCTCCTGCACACGTGGTCGGTCGTCTCGTGGGTGCATGGGGCGTGTTCTCGTATACGCGCATGCGCGGAAGAAGTTCGCCGCCTTTGGAAACGCATGACCTCCGCTCTTTTCTTGGAACCCAAGAAGTGCTGTTGGAGTCAGGAAAGGTGGAAGTTCTAGATCATCCACAAAAAACCCTCTGGGTAAAAGGAAAAGGAGTCCAACATGGACTCACACATTCATTTGCCTGGCTAGCCCAAAGCAGCTGTATGCTCCAGACAGCAACGAAAGAGCAACTTTGAAGATGGCTGGGCTGGGGGAAGAGAGTGTCACGCTAGGTCTACTTGCAGAAGCCTGGGAAATCAGCAAAGAGTTATATTTCCCAAATTGAATAATGCGGGTGGTTATGAACTACTTTATAAACATTTCCAGTGTTGTCTGGACCAGCCCAGTTCCGTCTTCGAGGTGTCTATTACCAGCTGCTCCATCGAACAGTTGTTGAGCAACCAGATCACTATAAATAAGCTCCAGAGACACGATGAAAGAGTCTAGAGCATCATAAGACAGCTCTCTTCCATCCCGGTACACATCTAGATATCGGACAATTCTGCAGAGCGTTATCACAGCCCATTCACTCATAGTGTCAGTAGATTGATCATTAATTAGAATAGCCTAGCTAGGTCACAGTTCAAGCATAATTCAACGCCGCATACCCCCCTCCAGCTGAAATGCATCCCCTCTGTTGGAAACCGGCATGCCCCCTCCAGTTGAAATGCACCCCCTCCGTTTGAAACACATACCCCCCTCCAGTTGAAGTGCATCCCCTCCATTGGAAACGCATACCCCCCTCCAGTTGATGTGCATCCCCTCCGTTGGAAACGCATGCCCCCTCCTGTTGAAATGCACCCCCTCCGTTGGAAACGCATACCCCCTCCAGTTGAAGTGCATCCACTCCGTTGGAAACGCATACTCCCCCTCCAGTTGAAGTGCATCCCCTCCGTTGCATAACCCCCTCCAGTTGAAGTGCACCCCCTCCGTTTGAAACGCATACTCCCCCTCCAGTTGAAGTGCACCCCCTCCGTTTGAAACGCATACTGTTGATGTGCATCCCCTCCGTTGGAAACGCATGCGCTCTAGTTATGAAACACACCCTCTACGTGGAGTAGCGTCACTTTTGGCAGTACAGTGGAACCTCCAATAATGGACACTCCGAAGAGCGGACAACCTCCCTACAACGGACAAACTACATGCCCCTTGCCGACAACCGCATGCACTCCATACATTTCTACCTCCGAGATACGGACACGTCTAACCTCCGAAAAACGGACAAACCTCACGTCCCGCACGGTCCCCGTCCCGCGTACAAAATTACCTCCGTTAACGGACAATGGACGCTTGGCACCAGCGGAAATGCAGAAAATTGTACACAGTCATACAACCAAACTACAGTATATAAAAGCTGGCCCTGTGTAAAAACATGGACGCAATATCATGCAGCGATAGCATATTATGCACATATTCGCGCGGGCGCTCCTGGGGACGCCGATGATCGTGTATACGCAATCGGCGCGAATTTCCGCGGACTTCTGACGGCTACGCATGTTTACCTGCAGAACCGCAGAAATACACCAGCCAAAATTTTCTTTTCGAGAAACTCTATTCATACAAATAGGACAAAGTGAGACAGAAGCGAAGGAAGATGAAGATGATGAAGAGACGAATGATGATGACCAACCCATGCAAATAAAAACTTACCAGGAGGCACTCAGAGCACTAGAAGATGAGCAGCAGTTTCTACTGTCTCAAGGACACATGAAAGAAGCGATGGACATTGGCTGTAGTGTGGACAGTGTACAGTACACGCCAAAAAAAAGTTCCCACTACGTACCGTAGTACGGTCACACTGTAGTAGAACTACGGTCTTGCTACGCTGCTGCTACGCCGTAGCAACGCCGTACTACGGTGGAAGCCGTAGACCTGCTACGGCGCAGTATGCCGTAGTTTACTAACACCCAGATACAGTCGTCTACCAAGCAGCGTTGCCCCATGCAGCGTTAGCTAGCTGTACAGCCAGGAGATCCACACGGCGTTCACACAGCGACAGTGCTGACGGCGAGGCACGTGGTTTAGTGGGCGCGGTCGCACGCGCGCATATCGCGTCAGCGCGGGCGCAACGGAGAGCGAGAAGCGATAGCAAGCAGCAGTAGCCTTGCTAGACACGACTGCGCTACAACGCTAGTGTTCTTAGCTTACTCTCAGCTTTAGAAACAACGCTCGTTGCTTGCTAGGCCTTTAGCTGCCACCGTTTACTTTACTACGGTGGGCCACACCCTCGCAGCGTACCGCAGCTACGGTGCTCTACGGTCGACCGTAGATCCGCCGTAGAAGCACCGTAGAACATTTTGCTACGGTATCACCGTACTACGGCGCCGTAGTGGGAAATTTTTTTGCCCGTGTACTGTCAACTTAACACACAAAAGTTGATCACTATTTCATTCAGTGAGCCTTTTTGACATTACAGTATACTCATCCATGATCTGTAATATCATTATTCATGTTGTTTAACATTGAAATAATAATTATTATGGCACTTAATGGCAGAACCTCTGACGAAGGGACCACCTCCGAACAATGGACAAAATGTTCGTCCCCACCGTGGCCATTATTCGGAGGTTCCACTGTAATCACCTCCCATAACCTGCCGCCATCAAACCTATACATAATGGTGGCACAAGTGGCCAGTTTTGATAGGGCACGAGTGGTCTATCAAAACTGAAGCCACGAGTGTGCAACCAGTAGAGCACAAGCCATATGCAAATGAGTTGACATACAGCTAAAGTATGGGGAAATTGTATGGCCTCTTTATGGTATAACTACCCATAGACTCAGCAGGAAGCGCTCACTACGCATCTACTTTGTTTGGACTAACTGGAATTCCTTTGACAGTCATCAAACAAGTGTCGGTTACTACCAACACTGTCATATAGTTGCCACACCTTTTACGCTTGACATGGTCTCCATGTTGAGTTTTCAGAGTAGTTCATTCGTGCTTGGATTGCGCGGGCCCCCATTTCGCCCACACTGCCCACTTCAGCTGGCAGCACCAGCCTCGCAGGGCCACAGTATAAAAGTGCTATAAATGCTTGTGCTGCCTGTACAGAAATCTGGGGGACCAGCAAGTTTTCATTTCAATATACCTTCACCGTGATCTTTACGCAAACAGTGAGAATCTACACAAATTTCGTCACTGACCTCTTGCTAATTCTGTAGTGGGCAGGTTCGTCCTTACCACTGTCAGCATTTTTTGCGGTAGCTCTCTTTAGCTGTGTGCAGTGATATATTACGCTTACTGATGCTAATACAACCCTGCATGCACACCATTACATGAGCGACTTAGTTAATACTGTTTGTAGTCTTCCGGTTTTTGGCTCAGTAGCTCACTAGTGTGAACCACAGCTACATAAGGAAATTTGAGATACTTAATGTCTTACCCAAGGCATAATTATCTTGGAAAACAGAACTGTCGATCATTCGCATTTGCCTCACTCTCATACCTCACTCGTGTTATACACATCAACAGGTCTTACTATTGGTCCAGCCAACTCTTTCAGTCTGTCCATCTCTCGCTCCGACAAAATCCCACTATGGTGTAAGGAAAAGTTGTGGTACATGCGACAGAAGATTGAGAGAGACAGAGACAGAGACAGAGAGAGAGAGAGACTGACCGCAGCATGAATATACGAGGTTTGTGGAAGACAACCTCCACCTTGACAGGTCTGATGACCAGACTCGGGGTCCTGTGGTTGTCATAGTAGAAACAGGTCAGCTCAGAGTCATACTCCTTTGGCTGAGGTGAGAGAGCAAAGGAGAGGAGGAGGTAACGGAGAGAGAAAGAACACAAACTACAGAACTCATGAAAATACTTGTCGGTTCAACCAACAACCATGTACGTTACGACATCATCTAGCGTGAAATGTGTTTCAATCACAAAAAACTCTAGGTATTAAGTGATTTCAGAGTATATCATCTAGTGTGCTAAACTTACAAGTGGCCATGGACCTCGGCACAGGCTCTGATATCTCTCATACTGAGTCATGCTCTCTCTGGACTCTGCAGTCTCTCCCTCTCCCTCCTCGCCCCTCTCATCATCCTGGTTAATATACTTCTCAGGTTCTGTGCGAATGAGCTCCTCAAAGTAGGCGACGTTTCTCTGGGCCCGGGCATGGGTCGGATCTGATGGGAATAAACATGTATACTAGAAGGCCGGCATTCTACATGTGACCGTACGTTGTGTAAGTGGTAGGACTTGCTTGCTGCACGTCACTTCCCTATCACGCAATCGGCACTGTGAAAGACGAGCCTCTCTCTGCTAAGGAGCCTCATGGGCACGACGTTCTCTTTCCCATTCTCTTCAATGACGAAGGGCATCCTCTGAAGACCGATCGATTAATAGCTACACACTCACATGTAATGAAGCCGCGTGCACGTATACTTACACAACGTACTATCACATAAAGAGGGTTCCTTGCCACATTTTTTATACTTAGGTTATCTCGCTCCCGCTCGCCAACAGAAAGTGTTGAAAACCACAACCAAAAAAACTAACCATTCTGTAGCATCAGTCTGGTGTAGTGAGCTGCTCTCTTGAGGTTCCCCAACTTGTACTCTGCAAATGACAGGTGGTCATACACGTCACTCAGATCTACAGTCGATGAGTGACCCTCCTCATCAAGTAGTCTAGGTGAAGGGTTGACAGGAATGACAACATATAATCCATGTGTTTCCCATACAGCCAAAGATTTGAAAGTCTAACGCTACAAAATACACGCAACGTGTATTTTGTCACGGTGTCCGTACGGCGGGGTAATTCCTGTCACATACGCTGTGACATTCGTCCGCAATGAGTTAAGCATACAGGAGAGTACATACATAAGTACAAGGTTAACTCATTGCGCGCGGCGGATGATTCGTTACGCGGATGTCAGCCAACGCGATCGGCATATATATAGATGTGCAGGAACACTCACTACTCTCTTCGTCCTAGTTGCCGTCGCTAGTCGCTGGCACAGCCAGACCTTGCTACAACTTTGACCTTTGAGTGGGCGCACAGTTTGCCCCACCTTCCGCGCGTATAATACGCATCTAAGAGCGATGAATGCAGATCTGCCATGGAAACGTGGCCTCCCTGCGGCTCTAAGATGACACTAGGCTTTCTAACACACGAAGGACGTATCTGGGCTTCGTCTGCGGGCCTACACCAAGTATAAACACGCAAAGAAAACGGCACGCACGAACTCGAAAAAACCACGCGGAAGCGGTAATTCCACGCATGCGCATTAACGCGTGCAATGAGTTAACCAGGGACAAGCAGTGAACAAGGAGACAGCAGACCTGAGGGTTTCTTTCATCCAGTCTCTGGCGTAGCGGTAGTCCTTGGAGTCGTAGACATCCATGGCCAACTGGAAGCTCTCTTCAGCTAGAGGACATAAGAAGCTTACTTTAACTGAGAGAATGGAACCTTACTGGAATTAGGAAGCAGCACTTTGTGGGGTGCACCTGGTGCGCGTTTTGTTAAAACATCTTCCCATAGACCATTATGTCCTATGGAATGTACAGTAGAGGAAAAATACTTCAAATCCGTAACATTCAACTGTTGAATGTCATTCACATTAAACTGCTAGATGGTGAAACCACAAACAGGGAAAAGCTCTTCACCGTTCATCCAGTCACCGATCACACAGTTGGACAATTCTCCGTGCGTTTGTCACTCCAATCTTTTCTGGGGCAGAAACTGACTGTATTCTGCTATTAGGACCATCTGAACTGCTATATATAATTTTCCGTCAGCAAAAAATCCATAAAGTGTTTTGTGAGTTAACCATGTGCATGGGACTGCAAGCTTTACTAGATGTTTCTTGCCCCCCGAATGCCTAGGTACCAGGCTAACGAGATGGTTTACATTCCAGTGATGTCATCCTCACATGTCATGGGTAAGGTGGTGGTGGTGCCGAGTTTGCCACTGGTGATGAGGGAGGGAGAGAGTCGGTAGGTGTCCTGGAGTCTCAGGATGGCCGTCACTGCTCCTGTGAAGTCCTCTGTGTCAGGGAACCGGAAGTTGTAGTAGGAGATGTTGGCCATCAGACCTGCAGCAAGGAGGGAGGGAGGGAGGGAGGGAGGGAGGGAGAGAGGGAGAGAGGAGGGAGGGAGGGAAAGATGGAGAGAGAAGAAATTAAAAGAGGCACAGCAGCAAAGGGAGAAGTTTTACCGCTTCATTGGTTGTCATGCACCTGTTTACTTTCCTATTTGACATTGACACACATACCACACATGTGTGCTCGTTCATGGAATTCAAAAATTTCGAGATTGAGTAGAGTCTCAGTGGTGCATGTTAACTGCTCTTATCTCCAAACGATGACTGGTAACAGGGACTATATTTGCTGGTTAGCCAAAACGGAAGGCAAGTTTTCCCTTTACGCGTGTCACCATAGCCTCCGATACTGGTTGCTAATGAAGAATCTGAGTGTTTTGCTCTGAACAAAGTTGCTGGCAAGGCCACAGGAACACTAAACTATCTATTTCCTCGATGTGTAACGCAGTTGGCTTCACTCCAACTTGCCAACAACAATACACACTACATTCACCTAGTAAGAACATACATATGGGGATGAATCTCATTAGTTCAAAACCACAAGCGCTGCGCCTGAGCAAAGCCTTGTGGCGATGAATCTCATTAGTTCAAAACCACAAGTGCTGCGCTCATGGCAGCCTTTATAAACTCGTGATGCCAGAGAGAGAAGTTGTGGTATGCTCTGCTGATGAGGGCCAACAAGCAGAAACAGCTCCACATCTTTTTCTTGGCATCACATGGTGTATTGTTACATGCATGTGCACCACCAACCCTGGTTACTTCTGACCCAGAGCACATGTTTATGAATGAGACCACACCAACTTATCACTCTACATTCTCTCCAGCTCAGTGCTGGTAACTACTACACAATAGTGTGGTGACCTTGTGCATTGTCTTCATACACGTGGTCATGTAGAGTGGCCCAGCCATTGGTGAACCTGTTGACCAGTTGGTAGGCATTGACAGGGTCAGAGAGATGGGTGCTGGGGTCCTGGCTGGCTGACGTGAGAGCCAACCTCACTCGATCAGCAAACTGCTCCACACGACCCAACCTGGAGAAGACACAGAGAGATGTTTGTACGTATGAATGGAGAGAGCAGGTGAATTACCAAGGAATGAGGTACGAGCATTTAAGGAAAGCAAGACAGTTCTGCACTAGGTACATTTATCGCCCTCGTCCAGCAACAGATTCAGACACAAGGGAAAGTGGGTGAGAACTAGTATAGACCAAAACACAGAGACAGGGGGGGGACGGTTCCGGGAAGAGGTTCTCACCTCTGTCTCTCCAGCTCCAGGTAGGACTCCAGTCCGCCCAGTAGCTCCTTCTCCAGAGAGACGAGTCCCTCCATGTGGACCAGGGCCGTGAACACCTCGGCCCTGACTCCCGGGACAGGGAGAACTACCACAGTAACCAGTGTCAGGAGACAGGCGAACAACCAGGACGCCATAGCTACTTGACTCCTTCAAATCTGTAGCTCTATCCGCAATTCTGCTAGTCACCGAAGACGACAAAGGCTTTTTGTTGTGTGTAGCTGTGGGTTAGCAAAGCGCTATATATATATCTCTAGCCATGTGCGCGCACATTCATTCGCTGCGCATGCGTGCGTGTGATGCAAATCAGATGTAACCAGACAGGCGACCGTACATACAACCAGGACTCCATCGCCAGAAAAACCTCCCAAGGACAAACCAGCAGTGAGAGAGAGAGAGAACCTGCGTGTGTGCGCACGTGTGTGAGCGTGGAATTTGGGTAGACTGCAGAATGGGAACAGCGCTGCAAAAAGTGGGAGTAGCTCGATTGACAACCACAGTTGTAGGCTATGCCAACACACAACTGGAAGGTACAACGACAATTGAGATTTCGCTCGTTTCAAGTACACATGATTTAGAGTGACTAGTGCATTTGCTTGTTGAAAATCTTGTTATTAAAAGATTGATCACTGTACACTGGCAATTTTTGTTCTTATGGTCACTGTGCGTGGCAGGGATATGGCCACAATGTCATGCTATTAACACAAGGTCCAGTTGTGAATCACACTAGCCATCCATAATAGGCATCACGAAATTGCCTGTTGCACTCGATCCAATCAAGTTGGTGGTGTGTTCCTACGGTATATAGACACATTTTATGTTTAGTAAGTTTTTATTATAGTATATAGCTACATATTCCGTGAAAGGACAATATTATTAGGTCATAGGTGCTGTAATAATCCAAATCGTTTGTGTGACATGGTGTGTGTTGAGCTATGGTGCATATAAACAATAATGACTAATAAAAAGGTTTTCTGGTGTAGGTATATACAATCCAATACAATGAAACTTAAAGTGTGCTATTGACAGCCATAACTTCATAAGTTCCATCATTAATACCAGTTGACTGCTCTGGAGTAGATGGAGGCTGATTTTCTTCCACACGTGAACATTGCTCACCTCCTGGTACAGCTACTGACTCATATACATCACTTTGCCTCTCTCCTTGCTCCACGTCAGTGTAAGCCTCATTACTTGATGTGTTGATAGCTCTACCAGTCACAATACCCGAGACAATTTTGTCAATCTTACAAAGAGTCCATCTAAGAACAGCTCTAATGGATATGGGACCATAGCAGTATCTTAGAAAGAGAAAGACCACTACAGCCAAGAGAGCAATGGTATTGATGGTTGCCATTACTCCTCCAATAGCTGCCGCTGCTATTGCTCTATTACTAGAAACTGGAGCACTAGTAGTAATTGGAGAGCACTCATCCTCGTTGACATCAGAGATGGCTACTGAGCAGCGGGAGTCCACAGTCATCCGTACTCCAGTCAGGATGAGGCTGACTCCACCTCCTCCTTACCCAGGCCTCTATCAGCAAGACGAGGGAACCACGGTCTGTCTCAGAAGTCCCCTTCAGTCTGGCTCGATATGTCAGGAACGACGGAGACTCTGGGTAACAGAAAAAGAACTCGCTGTCTATGATATTCTCTCTTCCACACTCTTCACATGAAACATTCAGTCGCTCAACTATGGCAGCAGTGACTTGCTCTAGCTTCAAATCCATTCCAGAGCTCTGTTGTATAACGTAAGAGTTACAATACAGATAGTTTAATTGTGTGTGGTGGGGTAAAAATACCATAAAATCGGTGCAAGAAGTGAGAGGTCCAGTTAAACGGAGCTGAAAGAGTGCAGCAGCTGTAAAGGAAATGATGGAATGAAGGTAATTTTCCTACCAAATTAATTCTGTATTGTGTCTTGTGGCTACACCCAAATATACAATGGTGTAGCTACGGTGGAACCTCTAAAGTAATGATGAAATCACACCTCTTTGGTGTCTTGAAATATAAACAACAGGTGTTTTAAACTGTGTGTATTTGCATCCACTAAAAGATCTTAGACCTAATTGGAGATCATACAGGTCAGTTTTCCGACTTTGTGAACAAGGGCGCACTATAATTTGTTCACCACAATTACCCCTAAGTATCGCAATTAATCGAAAGTCTGAATTCTTTTCGGGTGAGCATGCTCCCAGAACACAGTACAACAGTGCTTTTTGCGAGTGTACTACCTATCCCTAATGTGCCATGCCATAATGGTAAAGACTATTACACATAATTATATCATGAACTAAATCGTATTCCTACATCACTTTAAATTGCAAATTACCTTGCTCATTGTCAGTAATATGAACTTCCACACAACTCAGTACTGATGAATTGTTTACAACACAGCATTGGTATGTGCCACTTGGAGCACTAGCGGTACCATTGCGTTTCAGATCTACTCCACCATCCCTGTGACTCTGGTAAAAGTATTCTCCAGATGAAGGCAATACTGTTCCATTGGGAAAGTGCCAGTCTCTGGAACTGGAATCGTCACAGATGCTCTCCAGGCCAGTGTGACATTGTAGACTGGTACTGTCCGAGCTGCCCACAAGGTGAATGTCCAGGTGTGAATGGTTGGCCAAAGTCTTGCCCATGAACAAGACATGAGGAACACTCTTGCAAGGTTCTTGCAGTGCCGGAACAAGCCATGTCACTAACAGTAGAGCAATTCTCATAGCAATGCTGTGAGTATAGCTCATGTTTGAGTTCAAGACGCCAAAAAGTTCACAATTGTTACACAGATTATTGTCACCCCTATTTATGCTGATACAACTTTCGTGTTTACATAGTCTTTGAAGGAAAACTATACCGAAAGTAAGCTGTGTGAATTGAAGTTAAACATAACTTTCATGAGTTACAATGGGACTCTATAGGAGGAATTTAGGAGGAAACGTGTAAGGAAAAAGTGCTGACCAAAACGAACTGCAACTCTAGATGCATACTGATTATACTGACATTCCCAATACCTGACATGCTGTCATAAGGACAGTAAATGACACAATTAGTGGCAAGCTACTGGACTTTACTTACAGACCCAGCCCTTGCTTATTGCATGGGCTTGACGAACAAATGACAACAGGCAAGTGACAGGTGACACAGCTGATTGTCCTGTTGATTACGTCACTGTGTCTCCCACACCTGCAACTGTTAACTAGTACACATATATAGTGGCATTAGCCCTACACAAGGACAGGAGATTAGAACATACACTGCTCATTGGTGCGTATTCACGTTCATATATAATACAGAACGCAAGGTTATCACTGCAATGCATTCGAATGACACTTCTACAATCCACTTAGTTTTTATTCTTTCACAGTCTGCCTTAAACTCTTTGACCCGAGCCTATATAACTTTACACTAGCTATAGACTGTCAGAGAAATAAAGTTACAGTTCCTACGTAGCAACTAGTTAATAAAACCCAAAAGAGTCAGCAGCAGAAGATTTGGTATAATACTTCACATCCGAACAACAAGACTTGGTTTTATATCAGACAATTGTCGACAACCTGTAAGAAAATCAATATTTTTGTCATAATCACAAGACAGAATAGCTAGCATGGAATACCTGAGAGGGTCATAGCACACGTCAGTTCCTCTCGGAGAATCTCTAAGACTTTTGTCACTCCCTCTTCTCCATTACACGCCAGACCCCAGAGGACTGGTCTCCCAATAAAGACTGCCCTGGCCCCCATTGCCAGAGCCTTCAGCACATCGGTTCCCTGCCTCACTCCTCCATCCACGTACACCTCCACACGTCCCTCCACTGCCTTCACCACCTCACTCAGAGCATCAATCTACAAAACATTCCGACTTTAACACACACTATTATTGTGGTTTCATTTAACTTTGTGCTATAGTTTACTGACTGTAGCTAGGACTCCATCGAGCTGTCTTCCTCCATGGTTTGAGACAATGATCCCTTGTACGTCGTGTTTCAAACTCTCCAATGCGTCCTCAGCTGTCAAGATTCCTTTTAAAACGATTGGAAGGTGAGTGATTCCCCTTATCCAATCAATGACTCCCCACGTTAAGCTTGGATCAAGCATCTTAGTCACATCTCCCACATTTACGGGATGTGGGTTGTCACCAAACATTGGGAAGCTAATATTTTGTGGGCGAGTGAAGCTGCCATTTGTTCTACGACCAACATCTGGTTGGTCAATTGTAACTACAATGGCTTTGTAAGAGGCTTTCTCTGCTCGAAGTATAAGATTTTTCGTCAGCTCTTTGTCACGAAAGACATTCAATTGAAACCACCTGAGACCAGATGCACTGGCATCTGCCACAGCCTCAATAGTGGTATTGCTCCAGACACTTAACATCATACAACTGCCTGCTTTTGCTGTGGCTGGAGGGAGAAAGGGGAGAAGGGAACATTTTTATCTTGGAGTTTTTATACAACAATAAATGCCTTTTGTAACCTTCCAAAAGTTCACAAACACTGTCATAAGTATCACTAACAACTGCGCTTATACAAATCACAGGGTGTAGCTAAATGCAAGACAAAACTACACCTTTCTCAAAGTTACTCTCAAACCTACAACACTCTGTTACGCTCTCCCAGCTGAGCTACCACACCTAACATGTTGGAGCAGGGTTATTTAAAAAGGTTATGTTCACACATAATCCGCAGTTTGATCGTCTTAACCATCCTAACAGGTATTTGAAGGCTTAGCTACATTTTCTATTCTGTTACGACTGTAATGCTTTGGATAACAGCAACAGCTCGCATGGACAGTAGTCTAGCAATTATAAAAAGTATTCTGTATCTGATGGACTCCTAATGATGCTTATTATAATTAAACTGACCTCTGGCTGTGGCTAGCTCTCCATCTTTGTGCGCCATTTTGTGTGAGCCAGTTGCTCCGACACAGACAGGAAATGACACTTCCTCTCCAAGAATGCACGACCTTGTATCAACGTGTGACACATCCCGGAGAATACTTGGCCTCAAACGGTATCTGAGATTACGTAGTTTACGGTTGTAATTAATTATTATATAGCAATAATGCCATTGCAGAACAGAGTATTATTTCAATGATTATTTAGAGCAGAGAAGCTAAGATTCTTGTGTGCCAGTAGCCTAGTTTCTCTGCTCTCCGTGGGTTTCAGTTTTATCTTCTCCACGGAACACAAGACTAGTCAAATCTAAAGTATAAAACTTTTGATGTCGGCTTCCGCCTATATTATATGCGACTCGTGTCGGCTAGGGAGGGGGAACCTTTTGCTTGCTATTCCATTGATGTGTCAAGCTCGTTAGCCGAGTAAGGAAGGTTAACGTCAAGTTTTATAGCTTTTAAAATGTTGTGTATTAAGGTAAAGAGACAAAAGGCTCATAGTGGCTGTTCTTTATAATGAAAGGATGTAGGGGTAACCAAATAATAATATTTTGTGTGAATGACTTACTGCAATGGAACAGTAATGTGTGATTTATCTTTAACAAAGTGTTTTACTTTCAATCACACCTTTAGAATCGTGTATAATGGAAAAATGAGGATATGAATGATATTCGCGCACCTAGCCAGTCACTAAAAGTTTAACTACCATTACCATTGTAAATATACGCTGTATTCTGAGCTGTGGGCTGCGGGCTGCACTGGTATAATATATCAGTCTTGGACAGGAAGTCCTTATCACAACATCTAGCGCTAGGCGTAGTGCAAATTGTCTGGCTTCCAAAGTTTACACAACAGTGCATTAGTGCAGGATGACACAGCAGAAATTCAGCATTGTGATTGGCTAGTAAATCAGTTAACGTCTCGGCGCGTACAGTCCTCCGCTACCGGCCTCGGGTTACGCCCTCGTGCGGTATAGTCAACAGCCTCGGAGTATCTCCTGTACCGCCTATTCGTTAACTAATACCTACATGTGTTTGCAGATTGTCTCTCTCCCATAACTGAAAAAAAAACATGGCAATCCAGGCAGACTCAAAGCCTGGCACAGCTTTAGCTACCTGCTAAGAAACAGAGAGAAATAGCTACCATGTTACAGACGCCAGGAATTATTCTTGTAGCGAGGCAGGCTCTGAGGTGTAAGGAACATGTACTTAGCTATAAACCCGTTCTGTGAATGCTGGAAATGTTTAATTGTGCATACCGTGGGATGGCTGTTGTTATGATTATAGGGATTACTCATGAAGGTATTAGACCATGTGATACCAAGAGAAAAAGGATTGAGCTGGACAGCTGTTTCGGGCTTGTTGGCCCTCATCAGCAGAGCATACCCCAACTTCTCTCTCTGGCATCACGAGTTTATAAAGGTGTTGTGATAAGGACTTCCTGTCCAATACTGATACCAGTGCAGCCCGCAGCCTACAGCTCAGAATACAGCGTATATTCCTAGCACGCCACTTGTAGCGTGCCAGAATGGCTCGGCCGGCTGCAATATTTACGTCACGAAATTAGCACAGCGCTCAATCAGATGGAACTATTCAGGCACATGCAGTGTATCTAGAAATTGAGAATGCAGTGTACCGCGGGAATACTATTACTGAACCATTCTGGCACGCTAGTGTACTGTAATCTACGAAGCCATTCTGGCACGCTAGTGTACTGTAGAGTACGGAGCCATTCTGGCACGCTACACCACGGGTTGTTTGAAGTTGGACTACAAACGTGCATACCTATAGGGTGTTTGTAGCTACCGTATGTGTATACGTATACCGTATTGAAAAAAAAATATTTTTTCTCGTATTTTTTAAAAACTAGTTTAGCACCTCTATTATTATATCTCTGCCAGTTTCGCTTGCTGCACACAGGCGTACTCTTTGCACACACTGACAACACTGCATACTTAATACACACCTTTGAAAGGCCTCTTCGTTGTCCCGTAACGTTTGCTCCTGGTTTGCTCCAAAAGAATAGTATCCCCACGCATTGCTATCCAGGCGATTCTGCGCACACCTTTTAAAGTCATCCAAGCACGCAAAAGTGGACATGTCCTCTTTCTTCGCGCGATACTAACAACAGGAGCAGTGGCGGATCCAGGGGGTTCTCTTTGAGTCCCGCGGAACCACTCCCTTTCTGTCGTTTTGCACGCATACGTCGTCGGCCAGTCAAAAACGTTCAGCTTCTGCCGTGCGCGCAGATTCGTAGCTTCACGCGAAGTCAGTAGAGCGCGCGCACGAGCGGCCTCAGTCGGACTGTTTACGCATTGGCTGGCAGGCGCGAGGCAAAATATGCGCGTGCGCATTTCTAGTTGGGCGCTGGACAGCCCTTTCAAAATCCTAGATCCGCCACTGAAGTGAAACGTCAGTTGTGCAAGGGCCGACCACGTTTGTCATCCCGGAGGCTTGCGGTCGTTTACTCGACCACTCTGGCGCTAGGGCTCCATTGACATTGGCACGCATATAGTCACCACCCATTCTTCTTCCTTGCTCAGGGAAGAGACCTGGACCATAAGACTTTCCATTCATTACCAGCTCTATGAAGAGACTGAGACGGAGTGTCGTGTAGAAGACCAAGGAAAGATAGTCAATGTGAGTGCTTTTCGGGACCACCTCCGCATGATATAACACAGACACAGCAGAGCAACTAGCAGGTGCCGTGGCGAGGAGCAGCTTACCACTAGCATTTTCCACAGCTACGTCGCTCTTATAGCGTCTAACAGGGACCTATCTGGTGCGCGCACGACTACGTTCTGTATCAACTATCTTCTCTA